TTGTAGATAATTTATTTCCAATGCTAATGCAACAAATTCCACCTTTTTATTTCAAATAGCGAGCTTGCTCTGGCTTATTATGTACAATTATCTTGTGTGGTGCAGCCTAGTGTTGTGAGGTGAGTAACAGCCCAGCCCCCAGAGCTTCTTACAGGAGAATGCCAACTTAAACCCAGGAGTATTAATTGTAAATGTGCTGTATTAGTTTCAGCATTTATGTGGCTGGCTTCAACTCTTTTATTTTGCTTGGATTGGGAGGTTGAATTTCCCTAATATGAAAATGCCTTGTTAGTTGATATTGCAAGGGAGGTAGTTTGAATAAGGAATGAAAAAGGTAATGAAACCTATCAGTAACATCTGAATTTTTTTATTGGCAGGCTCTGGATATGGCAAATATTCCTAACACTTACTGTTACTCTGCATTAGACCCAGCTGCCAGAAAGATCAATGTTGCCAAGTTCCAAACAAAAAAGGTATTGTATATCCATATTTGTATCATTAATTAAGAATTCATTGTTTAAATTTCAGTTACAAATCTTTATTTTACTATAATTCAAGTCTTCTTTTGATAAATATATACTGAATAGCATTTCATTCTCATTACAGTATAGTATTGACTACATGGCTCTCAACCAATGTTAAGAGTTCTCTACAAACTCTTCATATTTTTTTTTTTGTATAAACGTACTGAAAAGTTATCAAGTGAAAGAATGTATAATTCAGGTGTGGATGGGAGGATATAGAGGGAAGACCAAACAGGTGACATAAAGATAGGGATAAAATATGGACTTCCATGGGAGGGCTAGAAAACAACAGTGTGCAGAGACCATGACATCAAGAGTGATTTTAAGGGAAAGATGTACTCCTGATGGATGATGATGTGTTGTGTGAAATGATAGAGGTAAAGCAAATTTGGGAACTTATGAAATAGTTGTGTCATAGCATAATTCATCTTTTACAATGATAAAAGTTAATGATAGTGAAGGAAAGGATATATGACTGTGTGTATTTGCACTTGTTTATAACAACCTTTTATTATGCAGGAAAAAGCTGTTGTATATTGTAAAAAAATAATTTGGTAATGGTTCACAGGTTCGATGTCTGATTGTGACAGATGTAGCAGCTCGTGGTATTGACATTCCCCTGCTAGACAATGTTATCAATTTCAACTTCCCTGCAAAACCAAAACTGTTTGTTCATAGAGTAGGTAAGTTTTATCTTTTATCAACATCTGTATTTATCAGTCAAAGTACAACCCTTACTACTGTATTGAATGGAAAAGGGGCACCAAATATCATTAGAAAAGAACTGTACAAGTACCAGACTATTTAGCCAGCTTTCAAGAAACCAATTTTACCTGAAAACTGGCTTTTTTTTTAAACCGTCACGTTGTTTTGCCCTTGGTAGTGTGGTGTCTCTATTTCTTAGGGCTGTTTATGTAGGAGAGATTGAGGCACAGTCGTCTAAATCCCATGTTTATTTCCTGCTCTCATTACAGTGAGTCTCCATTTAAATCCACCTCCCTACAGTGAGTCTACTTATAAACAATCAACATTTAAAGTAAATAAATAAAGTTGTTGCTGTAATAATATAAATTATTCCTTTATACCATTATTTGTACAGCAATATATAACACTATCCCTCCTTTTAAAACCAAAAATGTCAGAAACTTAATCAAATGGAAACATATCCTAAAAAATATAAACTAAACTATCATCTTATAAGGAATGTTAACAAAATAAAGCACAGCAATACTGTATAGGAAACTACAGTAATTGTAGTAAGTTACAGTATAGTACTGTATATTATGAGTTGTAGACACTAAAATAAATTAAAAGAATATTCAAGTTGTATACAGTAGTCATTTACATATCTAGGAGGGTTTCTTTGCCTTTCTGGATATCTCTTGGAAGCAGCTAGTCGCTCATTGGGAGAAGGTACAGTCTTATTAGGAGAACTTTGGAATTACCCCAAAACCTCTGAAACTGTAGGACTTGCATTTTCATTTTCACTTATTTGAGGCTCTATTCCACTATAGGATACATATCTGGAAGCACATTCGGAATAGGATTTGAATATGAATTATTGGTTTCATTATTTGAATTTTCATCTACCAGTACTAAAGCCTCCTCAGGGACCATTTGCTCATTTAATCTTTGAGGACACTTCAGCAATTGGTCAATGTATCTTTCCTACATAGCCATCATGAACTTTCACTAAGTAGTGCCCTTCTCCAGCACTTTCTCCACTTTACCTTGCACCCATTTTTTTTTTCTTGGTAATTTCTCCTCTCTTGAATCACAATTTCAACACACGCAGCCACGTGAAACAGTTCGGTTCGCCATGGACTCTTGTTCTATAGTACTTCCACTTTCTTCATAAAGATGGAAATATTAAATCAGCAGTGAGCAATTTCCTTCCCATCAGCAGCACAGAAGGCGATTCCTGTTGTAGAATAAGTGATCGATAAAGCATGTACAGTGGTCCTCGGTTAACGAACGCTCGATTCGAAAATTTCGTTAACGAACTGCCTCCCATAAGATTCTAATTCGGTTAACGAATTTCTTCAACCGACCTCAACATGTTTTAACTTGCACTGGCAGCTCAACCAGTAATCCGCCAATACATTAATCGGTTCTAGGGCTTAAATTCCTTACTATTTTAGTAAATATCGAAGTTTATACTATTCAATAATTTTAAAGTTTAATATTCAATTTTTATCATTTAACAATTATTGAACATAATTGAAGGTAAAGTGACTAGTTTAATGCGCGTAGCCTCTTAACACAGCAAACAGGCGTTAGTCTCTCTCTGTTTTCACTGGAGGTAACATCTTGCTTGAGACTCTCTTCAACTAAATGCTTTTCTGTGTTTCTAAGCAAATTATTGGTCATTTTGAAATATATTTTACATATTGACAATATATAATGCAGTGCAGTATTGATTTAAAAATAATCTTGAAATACACCAAGAGAACTAAAATTTTATGGGTGAAATGGTGCCATGGGGTGACTTCTCTTCCACCCCATTGCCTTCTCTTCTTCCTTCTCCCTCCACCCCATTCTAATTCCCATCATCATCATCATCATCATCCAGGAGCCTTCTACATACACACCTCAAAGTAAGTGAACTTTTCTACCATTTTGTTGAATTTAGGCAATTTTCGGTGAGCTGGAACCAATTACCCAAAAACCCATTGAAACAATGGTTTCGGTTAACAATTTTTTTCGGTTAACGAACAACCTGCTGGAACTGATTGTGTTCGTTAACCGAGGGACCACTGTATCTTTGTAGGACAGTCTCAGCATTTTGCTTTAGTACTTCAGCGGCGTAAAGCTGAAGTACTTGAACTACTCTTTCTGCTTGACCATTCGTAGAAGGTTTATATGCTGCAGATGTACAATGCAAGATACCGGCTGTTAAGCAGAAATCAGAAAACTCTTGAAGTGAATTGGAGGCCATTATCTGTGTCAAGAATCTCAGGTAATCCGTGTCGACTGAAAACCTCACGGAGAACCTTTACCGTAGCCTCGGCCATTGTACTCTTCATTTGAACTACTTCAGGATGCTTACTGTAAGCATCTACAAGTGCAGTAAAGCCTCAAATAATGTGGTAATGTGTCTCCAATATTGCAGTGCAAGGTGAATTGTCATATCATGCATCCTTAATTACCATTAAAATAAAGCAATAATAATTAGATGCTTTCCCCAATCTGACCTTATCAATTATGTTTTTTTTCCCCCCCCCACCGGAAAATTAATGAAAAATAAAAACAATATTCTTTAAATAATGGTTATTGTTATACAATATAAATCAATAATATTGTAATATGTAGTCACACAAGAGGAGATGGGATGTCATTGTTTAGTCAGCGTTTTCATCCGGGACGATGGTTCTCCATCTGAAACTGAAGAAAATAAGATTGGTTGTATAGCTGTAGTAAAAATAATGTAAAAAAAAGTGTTTCTTTTAATTAATGTTATTTAATGAATGTACAGTAGAAGTAACCACTGATGGTAAAGGAAAAAGGTTAGAGACGGCAGAAGGCCAACGTTTATGTGTGCACATTCATGGAAACAGCATCATATCAGAACACACTGATGAAAATAAAGTAAGAAAATAAACAGTAATAGAAATAACTTCGTTCCCAGGTTAGTCCCATATACTAACCACCTAGCCTAAATATGTTGGAGAGATTATTATCAAAAGTTTGTTTTCTCTGCAAATGTATTTTTAAAAAAGAAATTGAAAATTTTCTAGAGAACTTAATGTGTCATGGCGTTGCGACTTGGTTAGGTTAGGTAACATTAGGTTAGGTTAGATGAGGTAAGATAAGGTAAGATTAGGTAAGGTTAGGTATTGTTATGATAAGATACATTTTACTAATTTTACAGCAAAAAAAATCACGACTAAATGTATCGAATATAAAACCTCTGAATATAATTCTTTTTCAAGAAAAAAAATGCTTTACCATTTTACCCCTTTTTTTTGTTAGCTTTGATGAACTTAGATTAGGTTAGGTATTATTTAACTCTGAGTCATGGGTACTTATTGGATACTTGGCAGAATAACTTGTTATAACTTGGCCCTAACAAAGGCAGAGTCAAGGCAAAAATGTTCACTTGACCTCATATTTGGATTTCATTACTGAAGGATATTTACAGCTATACCACACTAATATGGTCTATCTGCAAGTTTAGTCAGTCATAAAAAAAATGTACCCTAAATGTGGACAATAAAAATCTTCTATTTTGGTACAAATTACTTGAAAAGTTGTAAGAAGATAAAAGCTGCATCTCTTCCATAGAGAGAGAAATATTAACACTCAAGCCTCTAATAAACGTAAAAAAAAATAGACTAAAGAGACAAACTGTAATATTGTATTTTAGTATGTTGATGTACAAAAAATTTTCTTCATTATTCTATGATAAAACAAGTCTAACAAGCATTATAAAAACATATAGCGACTACTATATCCGGGTTGATTGTGTTGAGGTGCTGTAAGTTACGGGCTAGATTACAGGCTCACTTACGGAGTTTGATGCCAAATATTTGTTTTGAATATAGCGATTGGAGACTGTAAGTCCAGTTACGGGGTAAATAAGGAGATGCAGTGAAATAAACTGCTGTACCTAAATATTATGTAAATCAGAAAACAGCACGCGTATAGATGAAAATAATAAAAGCATAAATAATACAAACAAAATCAATTAATATTTTTATTATTATTTTTTAATATGAGAAGGGAAGGTTCAGCGCTTCTTGTTGTTCTCTGTCTTTTTCCCGGTGAAGATGTAGTCTCCCCATGGCAGGTACTGGTCCTTTTGTACATGGCAGAAAGTGGTGGTTACCTTCTTCTTGTTATTTTGAGCCTTGTGTTTTGTGTTCTGTAGTTTGTGAGATCGGGGCCCTTCTCCTTCACCTGGGCCTTGCAACCCTTCACCTCCACCTTTGACACTTTGGTTACAGTGCGTCCGAACACCATTTTGATGTACTGACCCTAACAGCTCTCTCACTGAGGCCAATTCAAAATTTGACCATACAGAAAGAATTACTGTTTAATAAGGTTGGAATTTAAAGAAAATGACAAAAATATGAAGCTCTGTTTATTACTATAGTGATGAGGGATGGTGTTGTAGAGATGATGGATAGTGTTATATATAGTGATGATGGATGGTGTTATATGTAGTGATGATGGGTGGTGTTACATGTCGTGATGATGGATGGTGTTATATGTAGTGATGATGGATGGTGTTATATGTAGTGATGATGGGTGGTGTTATAGGTAGTGAAGATGGATGGTGTTATATGTAGTGATGTTTAGTGTTATATGTAGTGATGATGGATGGTGTTATATGTAGTGATGATGGATGTTTTTATATGTAGTTGTGATGGGTAATTTTATATGTAGTGATGATGGATGGTGTTATATATACAGGTACATTAATTCCCAGGTAGCTACAGGACCATACAGGTGTTACCTTAATTAATGGAAGCCCAAATCTAATTCAGGTTGATGAGTATAAGTTCATATTTAGGAATAAAGTAACGGAGTGTTGTTTAATAAATTACCTGCAGTGTTGATGTCCATCTTGAGCAGCTGAAGGGCAGCACGCAGCGCTCTCCCTGTGTACAATGTCGATGACTCATATTGTTTCTGCCTTAAAACTTGGAGCGTTCTTGGTGCCAAAAGTCTTCCTTTCATC